TCTAGTAAACATAGCTTGCGTCACTGTCCTGTCTTAACTCGTAATTCGCCGGAGTGTTGGGAGGTCCTGGAGTCGTCAAGGAAGAGGGTAACACTTAAGGAATTGCTAGGTTAAAGTAAACTCACACGCATGTCTATTCTATTCTATTTCTCTATGTCACTATATACATCTATATGCACTCTTACCGACGTTCGTCGGTTGTACTACACTGGATAATGAACCTGCAGTCATCATTGGTTCTACCTCCTGTCACCCTACTGGCGGGTATTCTACTCTGCGGTATCTCGAATGAACCTAGTCAATCTAGTTAGACTATCTTTCCCTGTGGTTTTACACTTTACAATTATCACTGTTACACTTAATGTTCATGGCTATATGAAGTTGGTTTCACTTACTTGAGATGAGGAAATAGATGCTCGCCATCAGCCACCAGCGCACACTCACGGCCATCGCTCTCTCGGCGATAGCCTCCCCTGAACTCTAAGTTACTTAATATCAATCAAAAGTCTAAAGGCAAAAGGTTTTTTGATTAAGTCTTCTAGGGTTTATATAACCTCTCTTTGCTGATTCTTTGAGTTCCGGGTAGGTTGCCTGCCCATTCTGACGTGATTTTGGCCTCCCTCATTGGTTGCCCATCGAGAAGGGGTTGACTCTTTCGGGTCTACCGCCTCCTCAGACTCAGCGTTTTCCTCCTGCCATAGTGTTTATGACCCACTTCATATAGCTCGTTCCTCAATGTCAGCGCTATTACACTGCCGGGTTAGCATTCTAATGACTCAGGCATTCCCTGTTACAATTCTTTGTAGACCTAAGCTTCCTGGTTCGTTTCATCACGGCTACTTCTTACTCTTATAGTCTAGCTACTATTATTCCAATTTTACCCCAAAACTATATCTACATGTACGTAACCTTAGCGGCATTACACGTCACATTATGTTAAAAGGTAAAGCTATTCCTGTAACAGGCTGTGGAGGCCCATAAGTTTGTGAGATGTCAAGGCTCCCACATTTTCTGGACAGTCTGCTCACAGATGGCGGTGTGGTTGTCAGCCTTATGCACCAGCTGCCCTTTACCCCACAGGAAGATTCCTGTTTCTCATTTCTTTTAGAGCCTGAGTTGGCCCCACGGCCATAGTGTGTCTGGATGGATTAGGTAAATTGAAAAAATCCAATGATCTCATTGGGTATCGGACCTGCGACCTACTGGCTTGTAGCATAGTACCTCAACTAACTATACTGCCACATGCCCCACACATTATGTTAACATTACAAATATAGTGATGGTGCTTATGTTTTGAGTTTGTATATTGCATGCTTAATGAAGTTAGAGTCCATACTAGTGGAGATTATACACAGGAATTGATTACTGAATTCCACAATTGTTGACTACCATTCTCACTGGCCACATTGTATAAATTAAAGGATCTGAAAGACAGGAAGTACTGCAGGTTCTTCCTAGAAGTATTTATTTTTGTAAATAAAAGTGTGCACCCTTGAGCAACTTCATATTATCATTGCTCACCCAAGCCAACAGTCATTATGCTGTAAGTCTTGTCATATTGACATTCTGTTACAAGCAATGTTGCAGCTTGCTTTGGGTCTTTGTGTTTCAGCTTGCAATGTTCTGTACCTCTACACTCTGGACACAGAATCGTTAACAGGCCCTCAAGCAATAAAGAAGGCAGTCCACCACATGTTCTCAACAAGACCATTGCCAACAGCAACAGTGGTTCACTTCAAGGTGTCAGGTCAGGGCATCACACTCACTGACAACAAGCGCCAGTTATTCTTCCGCAGGCATTACCCTGTGGCCACAATTTCATACTGTGGACTGGACCCAGATGATCACCGCTGGAGTCAGAAGAGTGATGAAACAGGAATGCCTATCAGTTCAAAGTGAGTGGTTGATCTAGAGCAACGAGTCATTACTACAGCACTTTTGTCATGGTACAGAGAATACTCTCATCACATGCAAAACACAGTGCACTGTTATACTGTTGGAAACAAAGGAGGAGGTTATACTTTTTTTTTATGAAAACTGAGTTGATGACTGGACAGTAAAGGATACCTGTTTCCTCAAAAAGGGGTCACTAGAAAAATATTCAAGAACTTTTTGCTGTTAAAAACCTCAAAAAGGGGTCACTAGAAAAATATTCAAGAACTTTTTGCTGTTAAAAACCGCATATTTAAGGTTTCCGTAAATCTACCAAAAACTGTCCCATTTGGATGACAGTTATTAAGTTTTTGTATAACTTGGTCTGATTGATGTTTCCCTTATACAAAGGCACAGGGAGTAACAATTCTTTTTTGGTGGTATGTGTTATTATATTCAATTTTTCATCAGTTCTTTTGTGCACTTTTGGTATGTATGTAATGTGAGAGGTGTCACAGCACCTGGTACACTTGTTATTGTATGCATTTTTTCACGTGTTTATTATAAGAACTAGAGAATGGTATATTTCCATGTTGTTTTCCATTTACAAATGTAATTCCTGTAGGCTTCTTGGACATACCACCGAGCAACTAGTAACACTGCCATACAGCAGGGCCATGGTCACAGCAGTTAACATTTGCATTATGTTATTAGTTCAGAATCACGTATTAATGCCCGATTAGTTCAACTCTCTCCTCATGTATGAAGTCTAACTTGTTAGCTGTGCATGTCATATAATTTTCTTTATCAAATATTTTAAATGTAACCTGTTAAATGTTCCTACTATGTCATTTTTGTTACCAGATATTTTACTTAATCTAGTACTTAGTCCTGAATACCCTCATTCTACATCTGACAAATGAACTTGGAAATAACTCCTTATTCCAGCCGTTGCTTTGGATTCGTGGCAAGGAAGCCGGCAAGTAAAACAGACAACCAGTGTCACATCTTTGCCGAGCTTGAACCAGAGCAGCCAGCTTCAGCCATTGTCAACTTCGTCTCGAAGGTCATGATGAGTGGGACAGCTGCCAAAGCAAACATTGTGTGATGCGGAGTTCATAACAAGTGCATTTTGCTATGTTGTAGGCCCTCAAAGTGTGGGCACTTTGGGAATATCAAAATGCTTTTCTAGCGGCATATACCGCTTGAAATGCAGAGTGTAATTGTAGAAATGGTTTCACTTAAAATCACGCAGGAAATAAATTTGGATTACATGCCTTGAATTTAGTACTAGGCTTGTCAGAATGGTCTGTTTACTATCTCATCAAAACTCTTCTAAGATCCATTAATCTTACTATCTCCTGGACAGTGGGAGGGGGTAATGTGGGTGTCCTTTGGATAGGAGGATAGCTGGGGCATACAGCTGACCGCTCATGTGCATCTAGTGCCTGAGGTCTTCATTGTGTGTGGAGTTACACTACATGATATTGTAGGCCTACATGGCATGGTGCTTATACAGAGTATGACAAGGAGTTAGGTACACCAACAGCTTGGCAGAAAAATACGAAATATTTTACACAAGATAAAATTCCTCATAGTGACTAAACACAATGAAGTACTTATTTTGCCAGTTGTGCTATTGTTGAATTATACTCTGATGTGGAATAGTTGGCAAATGTGGATAGTATGTGTATTTGGTTGTCCAATAGAGCCCTGTCCTTATTGCCCAAAAGCTAACCAGTGAGAGAAAAGGGGCAGAGCCAAATGGTCACACACATCTCAAACAATCACTGTGTAACTTCGGTACTCTCGTGCTTCCTAAACTTCTTTGAGAATTTTAAATTAATTATTTTGTCATTGTATTTGTTTTTTTTTTTTAGTTGATCATGCTTATAGGACATAGTCATGACATCTAAGACCATTCTTTCAAGTGTGTTATATGTAATCAGACATTATGTATATTTTCAAATTTTTTAATCCACATCCTGCCATTCCTTTTGTTTTTGTTCCTTAGTTTTCAGAAATTTAGGTCAGATTTTTGTCTTCAAACTTGTGTTGCAGTATGTATCATTTCTACTTCATGTTTAGTATGTGCCATATTTAAATCCGTGGTTGAAGACCAGATATGTAGAGTGAGATATTTTTTCATGGTTTCCTGATGCCCAAAATGCAAATCTCAGGAGGAGTATCTTAAACCAGGAAACAAAACATTTTCTCACATCCATCCAAACTTGTCATTTAACTGTTGTCATTACATTTGATGCCATGTAGTCCCTGCAGTAAATATGAAATGATTAATTAATACAAGTAACAGAATTTTTTGAGCACAGCCTCACAAGATAAAAACAAGTAGTCATGAAAAATGTAATAATTTTTTGTGATTACAGACTTGAGTGCAAATGTCACTACTACTCTAATGAAGTTGGTTTAACCCTTAATGCATATAGTTTGCTTCGTGGCTGTGGTGTGTAGAAAACTGAGATATATTATATAATGCCAGAAGATTATCACAAAGCTATGGCAGATGTGAATTGCTACCTAATCTTTTATTTCATTTAGAATCTTGTCTTTCATCCATTATAATTATTTCATTATAATGCTTTATATGCAATTATTTTGTATATATGTATTATATTCACTTTTCCTTTGGAAAAGTGGAAAGAAATTTTATAGAGGAGTACAGTGTAGTTAGAGATACTACATTATACTGTTAATACAAATTTATTCTGAGATAAGAATTGCTGCTATACAGTGTAACCAAGTGAACTTAACCTGATCTGCCAAACACTAATTGTGTACCTTTCATTCTCTAAACTGTCCACACTTTATGCAGTATGTACAACATATCACCTTATGCACATTTGGTATGCTGTCATCATATATTACAAAACACATGTAAACTAACCATTTGTTAATATGTACAGCCTGTACTTGTGATGGTGTTAAAATCTGTGCAAGGAAGGTCCATTCTGGTTGGATACCAGGAAGACCTCTTCTATGTATTGTACGTCTTGCCATAACAGCCATAAGATTGTATAGAAGGCGTAAAACTATATTATGTGAAATAGTTATATTATGTACATTGTTGACATATGCAAAACCTTGCACCAAAGTCTTATTATTAAACCTTACTTAAAAGCACTTCCATAAGCTGTGGATGTTTCAAATGTTGCTGACTGGTTTAATTAAATGAAAAAAGGCTACTTCATTTCTAGTCTTAAAGCTTGAAATTTTAAACTCTCTTCTAATGTGGTGAAAGTTTGTACGTGTTATGAAATGTAGTAGTATGGAACGCTGGAGAAAAAAGGCGCTGGAAGCCTTTGTTCAAAAGTGCGTGCAATGACTGGATGTGTATGCATTATTTTGTTTTCTATCTTTATTTGGATTACCTGTGAAGTTACTGAGTTTGTCTGATAAGCTTAACCCTTTCCTGGCTTCAGCACCTAAGAGCACCTCACTCTAAAATTTCAACTTCCTCTCAAAGTGACCACAATGTTTGCAAGCATCTACTCCCATCACTTGGATGACTGACTAACTTCGGTGCTAATACAACCAAAGATGTCTAGGTTCTGTTTGTTCTGTATTGTAAAGGAGGCATCAGTGAAGCTATTCATGCTTATTTGAAGTGATGTAAATAGACTTCAAATTTGAAATAATAGAGCATAGGCTGGGGGCCTAAGGTTTCAGAATGGGGACGGGTCAGGGTTAAACACAGTATAAAGAGTTGTAACCCAGGTGAAACTGTGTGAATGTTAACAAAGTTATAAATGATTGTATATTTTACATAGAATGTACCAGATGACAACTTACTATTGAATTGAACTGAACTGAATTTATTTACATTATATAAATCCTAAGCAGGTTAGTACCTTTGGATACAGAACAAGTCAAAATTGTTTCCCCCTATGTACAATTATTTTCTTAATAATTATTCTAACTTTATAATATATATTACACATAAAGAAAATATTATTAACAATCAAGTTCCTTCCGTCAAATGTGACACTTTTATAAGTTTTCCACCTCGTCACCACCTGCCTTACATGTTTCGGCTCACCACGGAGCCATCATCAGAGGCATTTATAGTAGAAAAAGAAATCACCAACACACAAAACTTCACTTTGTTAAAAATAGCCACGTTCCAGTTAATTAAAATAATTACAATAGTTAAAATTGCCGAGAGTGTCGGTTCACTAAAGGTTTTCCACACACCACGGTAGCTTTCTTATTTAATTCGTCGTTAATTCTGTAAAAATTATGTTTCGTTATTTGAAGTAAGAATTCTTAAAATTCCTAGAATTCTTTCCCGCTTGGCCCAGTCNGTGGAAAACCTTTAGTGAACCGACACTCTCGGCAATTTTAACTATTGTAATTATTTTAATTAACTGGAACGTGGCTATTTTTAACAAAGTGAAGTTTTGTGTGTTGGTGATTTCTTTTTCTACTATAAATGCCTCTGATGATGGCTCCGTGGTGAGCCGAAACATGTAAGGCAGGTGGTGACGAGGTGGAAAACTTATAAAAGTGTCACATTTGACGGAAGGAACTTGATTGTTAATTTGTTAGCGTGACGGACCAGAATGAAAGACCTTAAACTGAAAATATTATGTTTTAAAGTTAAAACAATCAAAGATGTTGTTTTGTTTTGAATCTGTACCCTCGTAGCTAGTCGCCGTGGCCTCGGATTCTTTAGCTTGGTCTGCTCCAAACTAGTGGTTTATATAGCGGTTTTGGTCAAATTCTGTTAACACTGAGTTTTAATCATTCGTCGAACTACGTCTTGTAGACTAATGTCTTGACGTTTTGACATCGCTCTGAAGCGCTCAGTTCCTATACCTTCAGGAAGATTTCGGCAAACATTTCTGTTCTCTGCCCATCCTTGTGGCATAGTCCACGCTCCTGCTGGTGAAGATGCAGTGCAGCTCCACCTTCGCGATCTTTCTGTCATGGTGGCGCCTTCTCCGAACTCCTTATGCAATTGGAAGCCGAAGATAAAACTTGCACCCATCTCTGCGATGGATTCATTTGCTGCAGACATGGCTTGTACAATTGTACTTCGCAAGTTTTGCTGCAGTCCTTCTGTCATTAGAGGCTTTGTCAATATGACTTGTGATATGCCTCCGGACATGGTTAATTTTGAAAAGGTGACCTTTTCAATTCTGAATGCTTCAAATTGAGAAATGATGTCAGATATTGACAACATATAACGCAGATTGAAGCCCGTGTTCTCAACATATTCAGGAAATAGAGCAGTTGTGATGCCTTGTCCTGCTAGTCTTTGAATGATTTCTGGGCGACGGCCCAGTGGTTGGTTGACCCCCACTAAATTCTCAGTGAACTCAGTGTGTTCGGGGCGTCCAACACGTACATTCAGCTCGGGTTCCTGAGCTTCCGCAGTGAGCATCATTACCATGTCACCTGCTACTCCCAGTGAAGGGATTTCTTCAAACAGGTTATGGTTCTGCTCAGTAATTCTTGAGGCATGATAGCCTCCTAATCCCTGGGCAACAGATACTGGGAGAGGTGGAACATCAAGTTCTGTCTCTTTTCCCATCTTATCTGTTACATTGCCTATCTGCGATAAAATCGTAAAAATTGGCTGAGGGACATTAAATTCAACATTGTTTGTTGCCTTCCTCAACTCCTTTTCCTCGCTTGATAAGGCAGTTCGACCTTGTTTGGCCTTTACGTCAATCAGCTTCAGCCAGAGTAATCCCGTAGCATAGTACGACAGTTCCTCTTTGGCTAGTTTTCTGTCCAGTTGCTTTACATCTGGAACGTATGACGCATAAGTTCCTATGGCCAGATCATCAACCTTAGACAAGTTAGTTTGGAAATTTTGTCGAGGTTCAATAGGTATGACGCAAACGTCGACTCCAAAAATGGACTCGGCAATAATGCTGTCGTTTCGCTGGGGTGTTGGTTTTTGAGGTGTGTTTACCTCACTCCCCTGCCCTACCGTGGGCGATTTTGGGCCTATCTTATTTTTATTTACCTTTACCTTTTTAAGAATGGGACCTGGTGGTCTTTTCTTGGTTGGGTCAAAGTTTTCAGGCTTTCCCCTGTATCGCGGAGATAGTTGCGCGATTTCGTCTCTAGTATAGATACGTTTTGGTTCAGCCATTCTCACTTTTGTTCAGAAAATGTTTGATATATAATATATATATCTTTTCTAAAGTGAGGTTTTCTATATCTTGTCTGTGTAAAGCAAGTTGGATATAGATTTTGAGTTTTTCTAGCCTTGCCTGGCTCCAGATCTCAAAACTGGGCAAGTTTGTGTGGCAAGTGCTATCATTTCTAGATTCTAGATCTTTAGTCTTTATTAGAAACATTACTGAAACTCTTCAGTGGATGAAATGTTTGTTACATGTCTTTGATTGCTTTACAGTAACAGAAGCCTAAAAGTAAACAAGGAATGAAACTATTACATTTGATTAAATATATGATTATCAGGCCTGCACAAATACCAGGTGGGGAAAATAATTTCTTTCTTCTTTCCTTCCCTTTATCCCTGCTGTATCTTTATCTTCTTCTGTCCTTTCTTATTGATTTCACATCTTTTATTTGTCTGTCCTGTTGTCATTCCTTTTTCTTGATCTCCTTGACGTTGCTTCCATTTTCTTATCTTCCATACATTTATCATACCTCCTGTCTCCCATATTTCTTTTATATCCCTTTCTCCATATCCTAGTAGCAGTACACTTGTCCCTAAGCATAGCAGGTATTGGCTGATATTCTATGCTGATGTGTCAGTTACCCTTATGTTAATATAAAATAGCAAATTACTCACCCTGAAATATTTTCTGTTATTCTGAATCCTATTTTTGAAGGTGTCTCTTATGTAGATGTATAGAAAATTTGTGCAGTCCTGATAATTATGAAGAAATTAAAATATTAGTTTGTTACATTAGTGAAACTTTAAGTGTGTGACATTTTATGACATATATATGCTTTTATGTAGATTTTCAAATAATTTTAGTTTTAAAGAAAAATTTGAAGACTTCTGTATATTAATACCTGGAAGCCTTTTTGTCATCCAGTTGAACCAGTTATGTGACATCCTGCAACAGTTACTCTAATATTTGTTTCTTTAACCGCTGCTTATTAATTAAAACAGAATCTATATATTACATTAAGTAATGTTATTTTACTTGAACTGTTATTTTAAGATGTATATATGTAACTTCAGAAGGCCTCATTTTAGCCTTTTTCTTTGCTGTGAATGACAAATAATTTCTTGAGTTTCTGGAGCAGTACAAGGTAGATTATTAATTTGTTCAGTTTAACATGATTTCTCGGTGATTTCAATTTCATAATGTATCTGTAGAAAAGACAGTCTACACATCATTTTTATCCTCACAATGCCTAATAAACATGATGCCTTTTTGAGGGGAATGAATGATGCAACAACAACTGACATACAGTCAAGTCTCTATTATCTGGGTGTTAACAGTGGCACCAAAATATTGAAAAATGTTTTCCCTTGAGATGTTCCTTCCTTTGTGAAACTTTTATTGAGAGTAGGACAACCAATAGGTGGACTTTCCATATTGTATTTTATTATTTCTCTTTTTATATATTTTATTGATCAGGATTATATTAACCCTTTCATCTCCACATATTTTAGGCACAAACATTCCCTCATGACTGTTTCATCGCAATATTCAAATCAGTACTTCACGTTTTACCTTTTTCATTATTGCCTTTGTCTGAGATAATGGCAGATTTTGAAATTCTCAGGCATGGAATATCCTGGTCCAGGAGGCATGTCATGTGAAAAGGCATCTTCTCTCTCTCTCTCTGTCTGTCTTGCATGTGTACAGACAGACAGTCCCACAAAATACGTATTTAATATTATTTTCTCTTGGTAATAAGTTTCTGTCATCTGACATAATAGATTTCCTGGGTTGTAGCTCTATATATTATTTGAAGACATTCTGACATTTCCATGAATGAAGATATTTTTTTATCTAAATGTATGAGCTTCTGTGAAGTAGATTTGCCCATCGTGGGTTGGTTTGACTGAACAGAGGGAGCATTGAACTCTTCAACCTGAGTATGTACCCAGAAAAAATCTCACTCTATGTAACAATCATCATGAAAGCTTCCAAGTCCTTCAGCAAATTCTTCCTTTGTGTAAA